TTTGATAAAATAGATTATTTTTACGGGTGAAAAAGGTATGGTAACCACATGTGCGCTATTAGTTTACGCCGGGGAGGTTTCAATAATAGTTGTTAGGTAAAGATGATCATAAGTCAGTTCATCGCGACAATTCGACCGTAAGGAGGTCGACCCGACAATCGAGCCATCGGGTAAACGATGTCTGTACATAAAAGATATTTAAGACAAATTGATATGAGGATGATTGGCCGTGTGTCCTAGAATAGAATAGGCTACCCCTTCCTTTTCCATGGGAGTCGCAAGAGGCGACTAAGGAAGGCGAAAGATGGGCAGCAGTATCCGTCTTAGAACATCACTGAAGCCTCACTGCGGTTGCAAATTTTACTGCCAAACGTGGCAACTACTGGCAAATCCCCCAAGGAGAAGGCTTATGTTTAGCTGGGGATAATTAAAAGCTGATATGACGATATGTGATGATATGAGGAGTCTTAATAAGAATTACAGAAACCAAAAGTTTTTTTTTTGTATATGTATAGTCTGTCTGTCGTTATGTTTGTTCCAGCATCAAGCAATCAAAAATATTTATAGTATAATGTTTTTCCTGCATACCCATACAAATATCATCGATCTCTGCATATATTAACAAAGTTAGGCGCAAAATTTGTATAGACGAATTTTAATATTTTTCGCAAGTTTTGACGTAAAGGACTGTTTCTTCCTTAATAAGTTATCATTTATAAAGCAACGATTGAATAAAATAGACAGTCATAAACTGTCATTAAATTTAGACAGTCTTTCAGACTATCTATATATATGTGCGTATTATGATTTTTTCAACTCTAAGTTAGGTATTGAAATTAAATGTTTCTTGTAAAAATAAATATATTTTTATTTTAACATCAAAGGTTTCATAAATGCACAGATCCTGCTGAGGCTGACGTAATTGTGGAACATCTGTTTAACGTCACGATTCACTGCATGTGAAAACAATTTTATACTAGTATATACACATTAATAAAGAATTTTGTTTCTAGAAAATCCATTAGGTATCTTTCCAGGTATGAAAGTTCAATAACTGTTTACATGGTCTCTAAAAATACTGGAAAAACTATGAACGCCGTTCTATCGTCAGTATATCTCCGATTTTTTTTTTTGGTTTTCAACAGTGAAATTAAATTTGAAATTAAAGTACTTAGTAAAAAGTATTTGATACTAAATTGTGTTACTTTAATATATAATAAAAGATAGTGAAACACTGCAAAAAATATATTTCATTTATTATACGGTATAACAGATTGACACAGCCGGACAGATGGCTCGAATGCGGGCGATAAGCTACTTAATACCATGAAAATTTGTCCAAAATTTCGGAACTAAACTCAACACGAAATCAAGAAAAAATACTGTTAATATGATAGAATTTTTAACATTCGTGTTTTCCAAACATGCTAAAGGTTATTGATAGAAAAGAAACGTATAAGAACCATACCGTTTCTAAATTTAAATAAAAAATTGAATCTTTAATTTGAAAACGAACTCAAATTTAAATTTAAGTTTGCTGTTCAATTATGTACGACCAATAATCTAACCAATCGAGTACATCGTTTATGTAAAGCCATCAAATAATAGTTCCAAATAACACAACAGTGCTGTATTACTACCAGGCTTGCCTGCTATTTTCTACAATCATACATTTTCAATACAAATAAAACCATTGTGCAAGCACATCCTATTCGTAACGGATGCTGATAAAATTATAATATTGCAGATGCAAAAACATCGCGTCAGAAATTGTTCAGTGATAAAATCATTTATTGATACCTCACGCTTTTGCCATCGAAAAGGGAACAGACAGATGTTCCGAATGCTAAATGTCATGGTTAAAATAATATAAGTATTAGTAAATAACTACTATTGACCAAACTGCATACATATACAGTCTTCATGTACATTAGGTATTGATACCGCCATTTCTGCTTCTATACCTGAATTTGATAAAAATTGTCGAAACATATTTATACGTACATTATTTCTATTGATTTATGACCTGTAATGTTAAAAACTTGTGCATTAATTTATTAATAATAAGAACGGTAGTCAGTACCCTGTATTGGTTTTTTTTGGTAGGTGAAAATGGAATGGTATCCCCGCTTGCGCTAACGGTATACGCTGGCGGGGCACCAGTGAAGGGTGATCAATGAAAATGAAAACAGGCCAGTTAGCCCATCATGATGAATTCATCAGGAATTAACCATGTTAGTTTCCAGGGGGAACAGCGTGGAGGTCGACCTGGTTAGGTATATTGCTAGCAATGGGATTCTTAGTCTCCATTACTAACAATCCCTTTCCCCTACCCTGTAATGGTTTATACATCAATCAGGTCGACTTTTACGCAGTTTCCGCTAGAATTCATTGTTGTTAATTCTTCTGGAATTTATCGTGATGGGCTTACTGATCTATCATCCTTACCTGTCGCCACTCACTGATGGCCCGCCAACGTATACCGATAGCACAGGCGGGGTTATTGTTCCATTTTCACCTATAAAAAACAATATATAACCTGTTAGGTCGAAATTAACGTGGAGCCGCTGAAAACTAACCTGGTCAAATACCTTGTCAATCCGCCATCTGATTTCACTTCATCCTCATCGTTTCGTCTTTCACTGATGTTCTACTATTTATAATGAAAACAATAAAATATACCATTGCCCTTCCAAAAAAGAGCTGTTTTCAAAAAAATATAACTAGAATTACTTAGGATGATATAGGAATTCTAATGGTATAACATAAATTTAAATCTATTCAGGCATTTAGAAGTTATGACGTAATAAAAACTCACATACATGAACCTTGAAAATCTTATACTTCTGTTTTAGACAGTCGTATAATAAAAAACGTTATATATACATATATAAAGTAATTAAGTATGTAGGTTAATGACTAGGATTAATACACGCACCGGTGGGTGTGTGCAGAGTAATGGGATTTCCACCGGCCGATTTCGTCATCAAACATAGTAAATCCATAGAGTAAGCACGTAGTATTAAATCATCAATGCATCATAAATGGAAGTCGTATAAGTATATTATCGCAAATAAACACACTAGTAGCATTTAATAGTCATAATCATAGTAACTACTGTAGAATAGTAGTTGTAATGGCCTATGAAAATTATATTTCGACGAATATTTGTACAATATTAATCACTTCTTATATTAAATACCTATATCACAGACTATTTACAAAGGGAGACTTTGTACAAATGTCGATTGCTTGGGTACCTCTGTCCTATTCGTGTTTCTACCGTGAAGCAGTTGTGTTTGCATGGCTGTCTTTCGATTTGATGGGTGGGATATGGCGTGAATTAACTGGGTACAGAGGAATAACATCTGAGTCCTCAGGAATGGCAACGCATGGGGGGTATCATGGGCGAAATAGTATACTGTGTTATTTCCATGGTACTGCTCATGTCTATAGGCGACGGTTACCACTTTCCATCAGGTGGGCCGTCAGCTTGTTTGCCATTCTAAGTCGTATAAAAAAAAAGATATATAGTTTGTTTGCATTACAGTATACAAATAACAACAGACATAAATGGACATAAACAAAAAAGAGATAAAAGAATACATGTACAAAAAAAGGAAAACACATAAAAAAAGCAAGATAATTTTTCCTTTCGTACGTGTGCTATAGCTACACAAAATAGTCGCAACTCAATTTATTGGTTTACCCTCAAAAGAGCAAAATATTGATATTCTGTTGTAGCCAAAAGCGAATAAGCAAACAATAAAATAAAATTATCAATTATTAACAATCCAGCACCACTATAAAAATCTAGAAAGAACATCAAGCCATCATCGTCTCATATACCGCTCTAGTTCAACAATTTCATAAACAAATTTTTTAAAAGACGTCGTAAATATATCTGTAAATCGATAAGAGACAGACTGATTTATGATTGATTGACTAAATATACTATAAAGTACTATAAGGTAAATATATAAGGGTTAACCTCAAAAATAAACTATGGAAATACCAATGTTTAGTACACGTGCAACATACGGACAGGAAATGAAAACGAATGTGTAATTCTCGAATGATGAATACAATTTACATTTTATGCGTACTCTGCAAAAATCACGTATATACCTACTCATATCTAAATATACGGGGCAATGTCCTTTACGGATTTCCTTTCGTCGGCCGATATACCTACTTCATTCGTTTAGATGCGTATGAATCACCCCGATATCTCTCTGATCGATCACAAGCGTTTTTCTGAGAGATTATTTCACATACATACATACATACCAGTATAAGTACTGTTACTTTACTGTTAGTGTTGCTACTTTACACAAAAATTTGCATTCATTACAAAAAATACAATATTATTAATTGTATGGTCCCGACATAGAATGATCCAGCTCCATCTTTCCAATGGTGACTAAGATAACTTAATGGTAGAAGAATGGGCAGCAGCGAAAGCCCTTAAAACATCATCTAAGCCTAACTGCGATTGCGAACCCTCCTACCAAGCATGGCAACTACTGGCAAACCCCTCCTTATGAGGGAGACATATGTTCAGCAGTAGACAATTAACAGCAGAGGGCAATGAAATGTTTTCCGAAATTTCAGAGCCAAACAAAACAGAAATTTGATGTTAAAATTACATAATACATGCCGTTTGGAATTATTAAAAATGTGAAAATATTGTTCCTTTTGACTTTTATAGGATGTATAATGAACAAAATGTTAAACTCCATTTATTGGTCCGATTATGGTATAAACAAAAACACGAAATTGAGTCCGAAATTTCGGAATTTCATTTCATGGTAGACCCGCTGATATGATGGTAATATTATTATTTAGAATAAATTAATTGGACATCATACCTACTTAAATTAAAGTAAATAAATCAGAAACGTTGTTGAAGAAACATGACGACAAGAATTTTAACCATTATAAATTATTTGCACACAATAGAGAATCGGAAGATGGCTGAGGAATTTCATAATTATTACCTTTTAATAGTTGCTAATTATCTTGCTTGTTTATTCTTAGTTTTCATCGTGTAATTGTCATAATAACTAGCAGAATAGCACCATGATTGCCCTTTCAGTAATGTAGAAATTTGAGCTGTGAAAAATAAATAGACTTTAATTTAAAAAAATTATATATATATTAATTTTAGACTAATACGAGCAGGACGAGGAGAGGAGACGATTAAAAAACTCCCTAATATCAATTTTTTACCTGGATTTCGGCCAGCAAACACAAAAAATCTACCTACAATAGAATTTAACACCACCTTTTTTTAAAAAAGAATAATTGATGATCCCAGGTTTACAAGCAGTATCAAACCCTTAAGTCCTAGAAGAGATTTTGCCTCACTCTGCATGTTCTACTGCATGTGCAGTGGACTGTACTCAGAGAAATTGTTCAATATAATGCCCACGGCCACTTTCTACAATCGAACAGCTTGCCATCGACAGAGAGTTCACTCCCAAACGTTAGAGCATAGATGATGACATATAGCGCAGTTTCAGACATATTTCCTCCCACGAACGTTAAAGTTATGGAATGAGCTCCTTGTCGAGATTATCCCAAGAGACCACAGCATGTGGCCCTTCAAAAAAGGGTAAAAAGGTTTCTTCAGTGTTGACAACGCGCACATAATGCCCCTGAAACAGCAGGCGTTCATAGACTACGGTAACTACCCACTATCTGGTGGGCCGTATGCTTGTTTGCCACCTCAGTGGTGTAAAAAATGAATGCTTATAACCGAAGAAAGAATGTTATGCTCACAACAGTTGGCCGCAAAAAAATATAATAATAAAGTAGGTTTTATACCTTTTATATCAGAGATTTGGCTGGCTATATGCCTGACACTACAAGGTTATTACATAAAAAAAGATGTATGAAATAATAAATATCGTAATGTGGTTAATTAACAATTCAATACACACAAATACATTATGTAAAAATGAATACAATTACTTCATTGTTGGCAAAAAACCACAATGATTCGTGATTGGAAATATTGACAGCGATCTCTTCATTAAATTTCAATGATGTGTGCTCATTATATTTTGAATTTTACTTTGTGAACATAACGTACAAATTGCAATATCTTTTTTGTCGCAACTTCGCCTCTACAGAACCTTTTATCTCCCGTCCCCAGAGAAATCGGGAAGACCTTTCTTAATACTTACTTACGATATACAAAGTCCCTCCGAATGCAAAATCATATTTGGAAACCCAGCAGTTTTAGCTGTATGTATATTAGTTAGTTCCGTTTTTATAAGGAGGTATACAAATCGACGTTTTTAAATATTACTATAATATGATCCACCAAAAGGTCATACAATAGGTATTTTAAATTGATTAAATAAACCTAGAATAAATCTTAGTAATTTTACTATTCCAAAATTAATAAAAAAAAAAAACATATTTTAAATTCACCATCGGGACTTAACCGGAAATTATTACAAATAAATAATACCTAAAATTTATTGCCGATATTTTTATGAGAAAAGAAAGAAAAATGCACTATATACTTCGAACTTGCTGTAACCACGACGTGGTACAATTCACGCCAAAATATCGGCAACAAAATGTACTGTCATCGTCATCATCATATCAGCCTTTAACTGTTCACTGCTGAACATAAGCCTCCTCGTGACGAGTTTTGCCAGTAGTTGCCACGCTTAGCAGGTGGATTGGCAACCGCAGTTAGGCTTTGAAGATGTTTTAAGAGGCTGCTGCCTATCCCTCACGCTCACTTAGTCGTTTCTTACGACACCCACGGGAAAGAAAGAGTTGGTCTATTTTATGCCGGAACCACATGGCAAAATGTACTGTAATATCATGTATTTAGGACTATTTGCCTGTAATGACGCCGCGTTTAGGCTCGATTGTAAATTTAAAATAGGTTTAAACAACGCGAATGTTTAAAATTAACTAAAATAAAACCTATTCGTAAAGAGTGATGATGAATGAATTATTTTTGGTGCCTGAAAGTGATAATGGTTTATTATTACAACTACAACGTTATAAATGCAGTTCGAAGTACATAAACGCATATTACTATGTTACTGATAAGAATGAATCATACAAACATATGAGTAATACCTGGTTTTGATATGACCTGACGTAATTGCGATGCTGAAGTGTTTACTTGAAGTTTAAGTAAAATTAATCCAATTAAAAGCGTTATATCTAAAAAAGTGATAATTTTAATCAACAAATACTCGAAGAAACTGTCTGTTCTCAGAATTTTGTCGAAAATAAAAACAAAAAACAATGTTTTAACCATTCCCAATAAATCGGTCACGTGACCGCGCGTTTTGTATGAACCTTCGACTTGTTACGTGACTGTTCGATTTCCTTTAGGAACAAAATAGTACAGAAAAAAATGTTTTATTCCAGATAGAAATGGAGGTTCTTATGCATTTATTGCCTCCAAGCTTTAATATTAATTTTTTTAATCAAAGATTCTTCCTAATAACTTGTGCATAATTTAGAATAATTAAATTATGATTTTTTTTTATTGGAACAATTAACGCTACGTATAAATATATTAGTACAAGTGCTAAATATAATTGTAAATGTACAAATAATATACCATTAACCATGGAAGAAAAATAGAAAATAAATAAAAAAATAATAGGGAGATTATCGATAGATTTTGTTACGTTATATCTATGACTAGCTTTTGTTCGCGACTTCACTTGCGTGATCGGCGACGTTATGTTTATTTATCAGAATAAAAAGTTGCCTATAACCTTTTCTATCTCTTATAGTAAGTCTTATAGGGATTAGATAAGCCGTTAAAACGCTAAGAGGTAACAAACAAATACACTTTCACATTTATAATATTAGTAAGGATTATACCTTCGTATAGATCATATATTCGTAGAGAACTTAATGGTCAAAGGATGAGCAGCGGCGTTTCTCTGAAAACATCACCAAAGCCTAATTGCAGGTAGGTTGGCAACCGCGTGGCAACTACTGGGAAGGCCTATGTTCAACAGTGGATGATTAACGGCATTTTATCGGATTTATGTCTGCAAAAAAAAAACAATTACTAGTATCATGTCAAACTATTTGTCATTATTCTTATTTTAAAAAGAATAAAATATACCAATGAGATGATGAGATATTTCATAGATACACAAAATTTAAAACAATTGAATTTAGAACACGGATTTGAAAACTGACATAAAATGGAATGTATCGAATGCAAAAATAATTATTTAAATGGATATAATGCGTGCAATATCTTTATAAAAAATAGATTAATTGAGAATCTCCTTATATTGTAATCCCCTAAAGACATAGACTATAAATACTTTAATATTTTAAGCGCTCTCATACCCTCCCAAGTTAATCATGTAAAAGTTTATCCAACCTTTTCCTCTCCCCATGCGCGCACCCGATTACAGCGGATACTCTTAATTTGGCCTCTCTTCAGAATATAACCAATTTACTCGATGCATACTTGTCGATGAAGCCCTCCACTGATTTTTCATTCATTTCTCCCATACAGACATGACTCCACTCGACAAGCGTTCGTCCTCTCGATATGCCAGACTTGTCACTACTCGTAAATTTATATCTATACCCGGCTGAAATTTTCCATTGAATTAACAATGTGTTGGATACTATTTAGATATGTTGTGCTCGTAATGTAACTGTAACACCTATTATTTTCTTATTTTTAATTATCTATTATTATTATTTTTTTGTTTCTACTAATTCACAATTTCCATCAGACATTCAAAGATTGACTGGAAGACATCCTATTTATGGAATAAGTCCACCATTGTATTGATTCTTTTTCTAAGAGCCCTGTATCTTATAATTTCAGACAATACCGACATGACTATGAAAAATTTCGAAAATAATTATTCTATATTAATCAATAACATTTTCTTTTTAATAATAATACTTCATGTTTTTTACAATACGTACTGTTATTAAGAACAATGATCAAGTGTATAATTCTAAGTGTGTGTATAATTCTAAGGTATTAATTTATAAAACTATGAATACAATTTAAATACAAAAGAACGATGTCCAGAAAAAATTACATATATTTTTTTATTCCAATCGATAACTACAATCAACAGCAATAATTAATTCACACTTTAAACGTACTAGAGTAACTATTATATCATCTATGTATTAAGTGTAGTGTTAACGAAGTTCAATGTCATCTCAAATCAAAATCATTGTTCAACAGAATAAATAGTGGAAACACGATCCTTTTGTTATATGGTCAGCGAGGCTCAATCAGCGGTTCGTATCTATATATTCGTAATTTCTTTTTTAATTTACTGTTGTAACGGCTTTATTCAGTGACTTTGGTAGCAATAGTAAATCATATACACACTGTGAAATGATATAATTTGATATAAATTTCCATTTTATATAAACCATCACTTCTTGTTTAAACTTATATATGAACAAATCAATAAACATCACTAAATACACTATGGTGCCCATGCTATACCTTATGTGATGTCATTCCTGTAATCTAAGGGATATACATGTGTATGCATACTTTCATATCCATATATTTTGCTCTCATTTCTTATTTTAAACCAAATACAACCATACAAACAAAGGGCAAAATTTTGAACTTATTTTATTTATTATAAACAGATATTCCTTAAATTCTAATGGAAATTAAGAAACTGTAGGCATGAAAGTAGTTTCATCTCTAAACTAAAAAATTGTGCATAATATTGATATAATAGTTTCGTGTCTGTCATAAATAAAAAAATGCTATCATTCTGTATAATCGAAACACATTTAAGTTTTTAGTTTATTAAATTTAAATTTTAATAACGTGTGTATTCGTTATGTAAATTTGACTTAATTATTTAAAATTAACACAATCCATAAAATGCAAAAGTTCAGTAGCACTGTCATAGGTCAATTAATGTGTCTTTTATAATTTCGTGATAATTCACACTATCTCATATGAAGGCAGTCGTGGTGATTGAAAATTATGTTCTTAACGAAAAAAAGATTTGTTATTAGTATGCATTTACAATGACGACCTTCGAATTCGTAAAAATAATATAATTTAAAGATGCAGATGTCGTTGGCAAATACCATCACGTCTTTTCTAATTGAAAGGTTAGTCATTCTATTGCGAATAACATACTGAAATGTGAATTTCAGCGATAAAGTTTATGATTTTGAAATCAGAGATCATTTCAAAAATTAGTTATGGGTTTATTTTGTATATACCTCATTCAAATATTGCATCATACGTCATTATCATTTCAGCCATTCACTACTCCACTGCTAAATACAGACCATGAACATCGATTATATAAATTGTCATATTTTGCTTTATAATGGACTTTTAACTTTACCATTATTACTCATAAAGCGTCATCATACAATATGTGCTATCTATAGTGGTATTCGTGTCTATAGGCGACAGTTACCATTTTAAATGTTAATTATTAATTACAAAATCTAAAATGTAATTAATGAATTTCGCTGCTAGGGTAGTAACATATTTCTAAATATATTTCAAATAAATTGGATGTATCATTACTAGCGGCTCACCCTGTCTTCATACGGTTAGATAGATAGACTTTTTTTTTAAATAAAGTTCATGTTACTCGCTGAAAATGTATCTTTACCAGAGGGAGACTGTATAAAAGTCGTTTGCTTATGCACCTCTGTACCATCCGTGTTTCTACCATGAAGCAGATGTGTTTGCATGGCTGTGTTTCGGTTTGAAGGGTGGTATATCTCACCCTTGAAACACGAACAGGACAGATGTATCCAAGCGAACGACTTTTGTACAAAGTCTTCCTCTGGTACATAGAATTATTAATCAGCTGTGTGGTCCCACCATAAAATAGGTCACCCCTTTCATTCCAGTCAGTATGGTAAGAGGCGACTCAGAAAAGCGAGAGTAGGGCAACAGCGTCCCTTTAAAACATCTCTAAAGCCTATCTACGGTTGCCAATCAGCCTGCCAAGCATGGCAACTACTGGCAAAACCCCCTAAAGGGGAGGCTATGGTTAATAGTGGACAGTTAAGGACTGATATGATGATAATGATGATGATGATGCGTCATATGTTTTCCATTTATAGTAGTATTTAAGTTATTGACAGGCATTAAATAATTAACTTCATACTTTAATATTCGTGTGAGTCATAAACTCTCCACACATGTACGAGTGAATTATGGATATGAGTACAATGATATGATAATATGTACATGGTTATTATCTTTCTAGAAGATGCCATCTGTATTTTTCAAGTTATAGGTGTTCAATATTAAAATATAATCAGTTTACTAAATTGTTCATTAACGTTAACAATTTGATAAAAAATTAATAAATTAAATATAATCATAAGTGCCACGCAATTACACTAATCATCTGGTCCTCAGGCATCTGGGAGTACAACCCAAGATTTTCCACTTTTCCGTTTGATTTTTGGAACACGTTCTTTCATACAAACCTTTTCCTGATAATTACAAACACAAATAATAAGAATTAGCCAAATAGGTGCAGCCGTTTTGAAGTGATGCGCTTACATACACTTGATAATTGATTTTTATTTAGAAATATCATTAATGTCAAATCGATAAAAGAATGTATGACATGGAATTATAAACTCAAAAGTGTTACAAATAGAAAATAGATTCAAGTGGCATAGAATCTCTCTTTGAAATATTATATGAGCGAAACCTTTGTTCAACAGTGGACGATGGATGAGTTTTATTAATGACGATGATTAAATACAAAAGTTGGAACTATGGATGGATGTGTTTATTCCTTGCGTTGTGTGTGATTACTCTTTCACCCAAACACTACTGCATCGATTTGAATACAACAGATAAATAGATTTATAGGTGCATGAATTTGTTTAAAGCTGGTTCTTAGTAAGACAATAAAAAATTGGCGTGTAATTTAACAAAGCACTTCCGTGGACAATAAAAAATACACATAAACTTAGATCACTAACGAGATTAACTTGGCATGATACTAACAACTTTTTCGATCGAAAAAATATTTGAAAAAAACAAGCAAATGGTAAATATATAGGCTTAAAGATAATTATTTGTATTTCTACTTGTATATTTGTCAAGCTCGAGTAACAAAAGTCCTAATTGTTCATACTGGTCCAACTTCGGTTCTCCTTTTTGAATGGATGGACCAGTTGCAATTAAGTTTTTTCTTCAAAGACGATTCCGAGCAACGTTTCATAATAATCAAAAAGCTATTTCGAAATAAGCTAGATAAGAATAGCAACTTACATAAAAAGAAGAGAAAGAAAAGAGGATAAGAGGTTAATTTGTTTTTTTCTTTCTAACTGATTGATTCAAGCAAAAAAGAACTATTATTTTAAAAGTACATTTAAGTACATATATAGTGTGTATGTAAAACGTTTGTTGCACCTAAATTATATACTTGGTTGAACGTTCGTTATTATTCATCTGTGGGCCATTGATAATTCGTCTATTGTGTATTAAAGTAATTAATAGCTGCGCTTCAGAGACAAACAATAGGCACTAAACTCAAAAAGTAAAACGGTTAAGTTAAAGGACGACCATAAATTTGCAGAAAAAAAAACTTTGATCACTAGGGTATGATGTAATATAAATGTTTCTATTATTCTATTCATCTGTTGTACATTTTAATACTTTGTACCACTATATAGAGCTAATTTTTGACATTAAAATTCTATAAAAAGATGTAGATGAAAATGTTTGTACTTCTGAGGTATAAAAGTATCGTGTTACGTATAAGTATAGTTTTTCAAGTATAGTTTTTCTTTCTTAATTACGATTAAGTTGTATATAATTGAATAGACACTATATATTATTTTATTGGACTTCAATTTTAATATACATTGTGCAGAAGTAAATAAATTGTAACAATGTCGAACAGGAATTCGCTTGATTTTTCCTTGTTCACAGTATACGGGATAAAATTACCTTATATATTATATGTATTCGAGACTTCTTTTTATAAACCTTATTGTATTTACGTATTAAATTGATATATATATAATTTCGTAATAAATATTCGAACAATCAATCTAATTTTAATTATTATATTATTATTTGTGGTCATAAAACAATACAATATTAAGTAATCTATGACAAAACAATCTATGATAAGGTCGTTGTAAGCAATTTTTGCGAATAATTTCCCCCACAAAGTGCGGTGAGAGTAATCGATTTCCCCGCAAAGAATGTGTATCCCGCATCGAGATAGATATTTGTGCAACTTTCCATTCAGTTTTCATATATAGTCACTAATATTATGCTGTAATCTTTAAAGATGACTAGTCAAATTATTCACAAAAGTATGTAATATACTGTAAATTAATTATTTTGGCTAATTTATATCATAACTATTATTATATTAACCTGTAGATTTCATTAAACAATAAAAGATATTCTCCTTGTTAATTTAGATTTTATTACTAACAATAATACAAGGTCATATACAAAACATATATCTACTACATAAGAAAACAGACTAGGAACACTTATTCATCTAAGTAGCTGCCAACATCATGATATTACATTAACATCGCTTAAATTACAAAAATTAATTTTATACCGTTTTTGGTATCCTGATAATTTTTAATTACATAACAGAGCCACTCTGAAGGACTTATTTTATCTTTGCTTAATTTTAAATATAATTCTCATTATTAAAACATTTATAATAATACCTATTCGTTCCTACTTATATAAATGCCTCTTTATTTACTTAACCATCCTCAAACGCCTACATGAACACTGAATATATTGGAAGGACCTCAGGGTCGATATCACATACAACATGTGTATCTATATACCCTTCATATAATATGTTTAATAAATATTAAATCTTAACAGAAAAAGGATCATTATTATTATGGCATTTAATATTTCAAGAGTTATATTAAATTATAAAATTACCAACTAATCGTTAGTACATCTCAGCTCACTCTAGGACTTTACAAATAATTTCAGAATTTCTATAGATCATATAGTAAATATATTCAAAACTTCAAATTTAGAACTATTATTCGAATCGATGTTCATTAATCAGCACTTGATAAACGATACTGTGAACAACTTTAAGCAATATAGTCAAGATTCATTGTAAGAAAGGTTGGAGAACTAAATCTCCGTGAACAGTATTGAGAGACGTTCTTTTTAATGTGTGATCATTAAAACTTGAAATTATTTTTTTTAATATTATCAGATAAATAAAAACATCTCACTTAAACTGTGAAAGATTTTTTTATCGTGGAACAAAATCCTTTTTCTAGTACGAAGAAAGCGAACGCGAAGGACTAAACCGAAGGTTGATGAAGTTAGTGTTCTTGCAATACATATTTAAAGTTTCACCAAATGCCGAGAATAAAAAGATTCAACCTCTTAATAATTTACACAAATGTAAATTGTTTACTTAAACTCATTTCAAGGGCTATTTGAAACCGTCGAAATAAATTTATTGCGAATACTTCCGAATATATATAAAATTACAACAGACGTTAATACGATTATATCACTACAATACTGATGACATTAAAGCACTTATTCCATATACATTTTCTCAATATACAGGGGCATAAGCTATCTTAAAAGATTCTATCGCTGTTGCGATAGAATCTTGGGTACAGGCATTACCCCTCGCGAATGTCATGGCACAGCCGAGCCTTGTGAAACATTGTTTTTGTTGTTGATGGTTGCAGCAAGACAGTATCGCTCCATTGCAAGTAGAAGATGTTCTCGGCAAATTAGTATCCGTTTTAGAATTTATAGATGCTTGTGTTTGTAGATCGTTCTGAAACAAATTTAAAGTCTACGTTAAACTTGGAAATAAGATATTTAAAATAATTTATTACATTTTATGTTTTATTATGCGAAATAAAAAAGTATAATTTATAAAGACTTTTTATAATATTTGGTTTGTTACTATAGTCAATTTAAGTTATGAAATACTTTTCAATTCCAAAAAAAAAAAACAATTAAATCTGTATACGATACTAATAGCTAAGATAATAACAAGACATAAATTGACCTTGTTCATATCAATTAAATGGTTAAAATGCAAATTCATTGTCCTTACTTCTTTTGGTCACTTTCCGTTAAGTGTGTAGTACACGGTTTCTTATATTAGTTCCACTGTTAAAACTAATATATTGATTACTTACATTTGCTTGGCTACTTCCATGATCAACATCAGGTGGCGGTCGTTGCATAGGTCGTTTCGGTTTTATCGGTTCGAAAGATATCGGCCGGGATCCATCACCGTTGTCGTCATATTCACTGTCCGTATTAGAATCTACTATACCCCAATTCTGTCGTTCGTCTTCTATTTCTGGTTTTATTCTTTTGTCAACATCGGGGGTTACCTGCGTTGGAGTTTTTTCAGTGGTACCTTTTGCTTGACAGATACATTGTTGAGGTACTGGGTAAGGTACTGGATAAGGTACATAGATTGGTTGCGGTGGTGGTGGAGGTCGTTTCACGTAAATGGATATTTCATCTAGAAGTCTCAATATTTGAGGTAGAAGATCTTGCTGTTGATTTGGCCGCTCATATTCCCTTCTGTCTGGATAATAAGGAATAGGTGGCGGTGGGTAATCATATCCATAACTGCTTTGCCATCTTCTTCGGCGATGACGCATTTTATTTGCAGCTTCATCTCTTGCTTTTCCGATGTGATCCAACTCATCTGACGTTACTTCTGTATCGACTCGATCGTTGTATTGCCGGCTATTTGCCGCAGCCGTGCAAAGTAAGATGCCAAATAATATTGTCACAGTATTCATCTGTAATAAGGAAAACAAATAGTCAATGACACAGGTTGTGATTGAATCGATAGAACAGCGGAAATAAATAATAAGTATTATGTACGGTTTCATTGTAGGTGTACACAGTTCACGTTTTTATAAAATTTTGTAGGTATGTTTACTTATTTTTTTTCAATACCGTAATGAAATTTAAAGATTCTATTGGTTATTGTGGGAAATACGCACGTAACCAAACCACCTATATGACATTGGAAAACTAGATATTGAATAGAATTTTAATTATGTTTATAGCCATTTGACATTTATAACAAGTTACCTACGTACATAGTTTTACAAGTCTATAATTTACATACACATGGATATGGTAAAAAAATATAAAATACAAGCGGACACTTTAAACATCACTAAAATTTTTTTGACCACTTAATGTATATTTTAAAAATCTAGACACCTAATTACTTATATAATTAGTGAATACCAATCAAATCGTTAAGGATGTATCGGTAATCAGTTTGTTACATTAAATGTAACATTCTCTTTTGATGCCACATCAGTAAGAAAGAATTTAATTTAATGAAAAATAACTCTAGAGTAAAATAAGGAATATCATTCTTCAATATAATTTCACTAGTCACGACATCTTCACTTTTTTTTTACACGAAAACATCCATACATAATAATGTATTTTCCTCTTTTAAAACACATTCCCGTTTCGTAACACAAATCCCAAGTACCAGAAATACAACGGTACCCACCTTGAGGTGTTCTATTTTCAAACAACCGCTTGGTACTAATTCAAAAATAACGGACGATTGATTCGTCACTTGAAAATTCCACTACTAAACAATAGTTATGTTGTGTTCTAGCTGTGGTGTTATCATTATCACTAGAATATCACGATATTCGTTCGTACGGCACGGCTAACCGTCTCGACGTTGTGTAGTAGACTGAATACGCTAAATACGATTCCCAATACGAGTTATTGGGCACGCGACCGTGGCAGTGAATATGCATCGCCGCAGACGCACCTATATTATATACCAGATAATTTACGTAGGTATAGCACAGCGCATCATTGGCTTTGGCCACTGTAACTACCGAATTGTGAGTGTCAATTATTATAATCGGCGTTTTATTATTATTTCAGCGACAAGTTCAGATGATTCAACTAAAATATTGCAAAAAATATTTTCACAGTTTTTTTTCTATTTATTTATATTTTATATTCAATAAGAATATAAAATATTATAGATACTTAAACTAGAGAATCAAAAGCAATTCTTTTTTTTACTTCCCTCAATTAAACTTCTACCCCAAGGGTTGATTAGTAGAAAACACCATCCGATATTAGGTCCATCAAATGTACACACAGTTACACTGTGTATTTTTAAATAAATAAATAATACATTTATGCATCTCATATAAATGGTAACAATTTTGTCGACTAGTAAGTTCAAAATTATTATACTATTTATTAATCCCACAGATGATCAGATTCAAAATTCCATTACAAATTAAAAAAAAAAGAACCTTTATAATGTTCAAGTAGATTTAAAAATAGAGTGAATCATTTAAAATAAATTAAATGATATATTTTTTAAACTAATCTAAAATAGTATAAAGCCATCTCCAAAGTAAAACTCTCTTAATCAGAAAAGTCAATCATTAAAGTCAGTACACAAAAAAAAACTATTCAAATTGAGAGCTACTTCCATTTTTAAAATTATTTTGTTTTATTTATTAGAGATACTCATATTTTCCAGAATATAAATCTATTTGTACTAAGATTGTAAATATTGATGACAGTCAATGATGCGGGTGTTTTATTCTAATATCAAAATGAGTCACATATCAAAACGCTCATTTGTGTCGTAGAATTACGTAGGTTGTGATATCACACACATACGTGTATATTATCTTATACGTTTATAATATATTATCTTATAAATACGTAGGATAACATAATATAAACATATTAAAAAACATACTTGAAAGATTGTAATCTCAAAAGAACATGCACACGATTATAACACGATTAGCACACGATCGCTATCTGGTGGTAAGTCTACTGCAAGTTAGTTGTTTGTTAGTTTTCCACCAGTGAGAATGAAAAAGACGAGTTAGCCCATCATGATGAATACACCTGAAACTTAGCACGATGGTTTCCAGGGGGGACCACGAGGAGATCCACCTGATGAGGTACATTGTTAACAACAGGGCTGATAGTCCGCATTACCAATAATCCCTTCCCCTTCCCCCTCCCTAATTGTACACTCATTCTTCACCTTCACAGTGTATTATGTATATCCTCTCCCGCTACTGTAACTGTAAACTAAAGGGAGGAAAGATTGTTAGAAATGGGGTCTAGCAGCCTCATTTCAATAGCATTATCAGTTCAGCCTTCACACCCCAGGAAACCATCGTGATTAATTTCTTGTAAATTCGTCAATGCAAACTGACCTAATTTCATCTTTACCTCATTAGCGGGGTGTCAATATTTACTAGATATTTCTTTTATTCTTCTGTAGATATTTCTTTTATATTATGACTAAATAACAATGACAGTCGTAACTTTAAATGTCAAATGAACTAATACCTTTTACTGGGGGGAAAGGAATTGTTAGTAATGGAGTTTGACAGCCCCATTGCTAGCAATATGCCTTATTATGTAGACCTCCACGTGGTTCCCCCTGGAAACCATCGTGAACAATTCTTGTTGAATTCGTCACGATGGGCTAACTGACCTACTTCATCCTCACCTATCATCCTTCACTGGTGTCCCGCCGGTGTACACCGATAGCGCGGGTGGGGTTACCATTCCATTATCATCCATTAAAAAAAACCTTTTTCTAGATATCAGGCATTTTAATTAAATTTTCTTAAATTATCAAGGCATAAAAAGAGATACTCAGTTTCACTCGTAACAAAAATAAAAAAATGGCTCCAATGTTAAAAACATTGGAGCCATTTTTTTTTATTTTCACAATTATTTACAAAAACATTTCAAACTAAATGCATAAATATTTATATTGAAATACGTTATTATTCATGTAATAAATACTTACTTAAAGTTTTGTTATTGTAAAATTTATAAAAATATGTCATGGTTGCATTAAGAGTATGATTACTAATGAAACATACATTCTTTCACTAAAATCTAGGTGCGTTCGAAATTACTAACGCTTTAAAATGACTACTTATTTGAACAGGTGTATCTGTTTTGAATATGAATCGAATTTCCGAATACGTAAATCGACATACCTAGAAGACAATTTTGTTTAAAGTCCAGTACGCGATGACACACAGCTAATAAAGTCCTTGTTTGGACATGTCAAGGTAACTCAAGAATTACTCAGTGTGTATTTAGAATTTTGGATAACGCTAATCTTGACGCTGATAAAATTCGTGTCAGAGCACGGAAAAAATAAGAGCATAATACGTACACAACGTCTTTGCAACAAATCAAGAATTTTATGAACTTTTTACAAAGTCTGCCTTTACATATTCATATATAATTCTCGTCTCGCTTCCCTTGAGCTATTAAAGTTCAACGAATCGTCTTTATATTTATTGATATCAAACGTTTTGTAATATTGGTAAAATTACTAAAGAATATATAATCTACTACAATTCTATTGCTAGCAACACCTTGTTAGGTCGACCTCCACTTGGTTCCTCCTGGAAACCATCATGCTGAATTCCAGATATATTCATCACGATGGGCTAACTAACTGCATTTTCATTCTCACTTATCATCTCTCACTGGTGCCTCGCCAGCGTATACCGTTAGCGCAGGCGGGGCAACCATTCCATAATTATCCATTACAAAAAAACATTCCTAAAGCCAGATAAACAGTACAGACAGGTAATAAGGTCCAAACAAGAAAATCTACCAAAAATAATATATCATAACTAAACTTATACAATATCTTATATACAATACGAAAATTGTAAAAACAGAACTAAATTACTGTACGTTGATGACTAATAGGGCAGTTAATTGGGTATTATTAATATAAATTGCATAAATTATCAACTGAATAAATTATACCAATAGACGACAGTAACTACAATCAGTTTTAAATATACTTTAATAAAATATAACTACTGGAAGGTTCAATAAGGTGACTACATTCACTCCTTGGCATAGTTGCATAAATTCTCATCTACTCATATATTAGATACTGAATAATTTACATCATTAGATGCTTCAAATCACATAACGTTGACATCACTATGTCAAATGCCTTTTAATAAATACTTTTAATTTCAGAAGTATTTGATTTTTAAATGCGTGCTTTAAAATGCCATCGAATACTTCAGCGGTCATCAGTTCAAATCTATGAATTAAAAGGTAACAGTCATAAGTAAGCTAGCAGTTCAGGATAGGATGACAGAACGTCATCTGTTACGTCCATGCTACTGCTCATGTCTATAAGCGACCGTTACCACTTTCCATCAGGTGGGCTGTCAGCTTGTTTGCCATTCTAAGTTATATAAAAAATAAAAATAGTCAGTAGTAGTAGAGTAGCAACTCATTAGGAGCATTACAAACATCAAGAAACTATGATGTCCATGTACAGGGAATCAGCGCAGATGGTTCAGGACCGTTCTTTATGGCAGTATGGGGAAGGCCTATGTTCAGCAGTGGGCAGATATGATATAGTGGCTAATATGTTGATGATATTGCTGTTCATGGCAATAAGCCACGATTGCTAATTTCCATCAGGTGGGCCATATTTTACCTATTATAAGTTCCGTAAAAAAAACACGTTGTTGAAACTTGCAGTAACTATCATCTTCAAGAGAATTGAGGGCTTTGATATCGGCATTTCTAGCACAATTAAGTTGTACAATATATTTTCGTAATTGAAATACACGTCAAAAAATATTTAGATGCTCAATATGTTGAAGCTGTTATTCACGTGAAGGCAAATTAATCATAAGTCTACCCACATTATTATTACTTCTATTTGGACTCAAACTTGTTTAAGACAAGGTTGTGCATCGGCTTGTACACTGAATAATTGTGACTATCCATGGTTATCTTCTGTTATCCCCCATTTACCGTCATCATAAATTCATTATGAAATTCTGTTACGGAATAGTCGAACGGTACAATATGTTTTCAGAGCAAATACCTTCAGTAAACTCAGGTTGTGAAACAAACTTCTTACCAAAGTTTTATTAAGAGCCTACAAGGCCGTATTAAAGTTTTCCTAAACTAAAGAGAGCCCATCGCACATGTCCTTAGAGTACGCTAACCGTTTTCTTTCACTTGTTTGTCATTATTGTAGTATAAAAAAATCTCCATACGTAAACTGCAATTGTACAGAAAATAAAATGATTTTCCGTGTGCAAAGTACATTGTATAAATTAGTTATTGATAATAATTTCCATTAGTCATATAATGTGTTATTTATTCACTATTTCTGATCATTGTTCATTATTCGTGATATAATTATACAATATTATTTACAAAAGGATATTTATTTATTTAATCCACTGGGTGAATTTTATAGTTTCCTAATGCCCTCACTTAGGAAAGCATTAGTACAATAATATACACTTTATAACTATAATTAAAAGAAATTATATTAATCAGATTAAAATATCATATAACTACATAACATTAATAGAAATCACACTTATATTTTGAATATCTGAACATAAACACTCTGTGGTTCTTCGACAAAACTCCAGCAAGTTGGAGGCATTTATCGAAAATAAAATATTGCAATCGTCGCCTTCAGAATTTGATACCTATTAAATAAAATTCACAATGCTACTAGTTAACAATATAGGACATTGAAACCAATTTGTTACAGTCACAAAAAACAAATAACATCTAGAGTTACAATTAAAATGTCTTTTTGCGTGTATGTGAATTATGTACACTGACATTCATAAAAACATATTTCAAACGTGCTTCTTTATGAAATTAATTTAAAATAACAACATTAGGCAAGTAATTATTGAAGACAAAGAAAACAAAACAATAACTAAATAATAAGA